AAGTCCATACAAGATTGTGCTTCATTTTGGACTTGTTTAGTATGAGCGCGTTGTTAATGATCTTGAAGCTCCAAGAAATCCATCAACTTCTTGATATTCGCCGCTTGACCACGAATTTCAGTTTGCAATTCTGTCAAACGAGTGTTCTCAGCCATGGCGTCAATGAAAGCACCAATGAAACAGTATTTTTATAATATAATGTTTTATAAGACAGCAACTGAATATTATGGAATTGAAATGAGTATATTCAGAATGAAACAACGAAAGTCTCAACAACACAGATTTAAAGAAATGAAACAGCAACTATTGAATAACATAACGTTCGTAAGCAGCCACGACAATGCAGAACCTGATCAGAATGGTGAGAAGAAAGATCAGAAATAGCCAGAGAATGAATAGAGAGCATCAGAGAGAATTGAGAAAATCATACCACACGCACGTCCTCTCACTGCACAAAGTCCTTCCATAAAGCATTCTCTCTTCGTTGCCTGACGCTTTTCCTAAGGCCCTCAGCTTGCGGATCACTTGCCACTTGGCTTTTTTGCATAACACCTTTCTCTCCTTGTCTCTCTCTTCAACATTTTCTGCGCACGTTACAATCTGCTTTTTGTTTGTAACTAAGTCTTGACTTATTATAGATTACAAGTTCAACATATATTCTTGTACTTGATTGGTGTGTTGATATTCTCACAAAAGCTCTATATCTCCGACACATTTTATTTCTCTACGATCCAAGCCTGGAGTGTGTGATCCCCAAGCCTCATACTCTCCCTCTACTTGAGGGGAGGATATAGGTGTATGATATATAGATGGTGCATGATATGTAGATACCACATGTCATGCATGCATGTTGTATAAGTTGTTAACCTTAGGTAGCTAAACATGTCTTAAATGGTGTAGGTTAGTCATCTTACTTGTACGAATATAAATACCTTTTGTTATCAAAATGTAATGGGAAAAAAATTATTTAGTTGAAACCAACAATATTCAGTTACAATATTTTCTCTCTCTCTCTGTCTGTTTTTTTTTTTTTTTATTCTCTCAATCCTCTTCATTTTCTAATATTATCAATAAATGAGGGGAAAAAACATTACATGAGAGAAAAAGATCATTAAACGAGAAAGGTAAAACTACATATAAAGGAGAATTAAGAAAAAAGGCATCAGGAAGTGAGAAGTAATTTTAAAAATAAAAAATAAAAAAAATAGGTGAGTAACATTAGCAATACACCGTGTATCGTCAATTGAGATACTATTTTGATGTAAAGCATGGAATATATTGTACTGTGACAAGGAATTTGAAAATTTAAAATAAATGGAGTCAATAATTAATCATGTGGTTATATTTAAGATAATTAATTATTTCTTGAAATCATGTAATGCAACAACAGTTATCTAAAAATATTATTAGGGGTCAAACTGAAAAAAAATAAATCAATAGCACATTAAAATGCTAAAGCAATACTTTCTTTACGTTTAAGATTTATACACAAAAATAAAGAAAATAATTGATATTTTAATTTTTTAAAATATTTATTACTTAATTTTCCGTTATACCTTTTAGATGATTAAAGAATAAATAAGTACATTAAAAATGAATAAATACATATTAATTATCAAAAGTAAAAATAAAAAAATTAATAAATTATTAATTTTAAAAAATGATAATGAAAAAAATAATAATATTAAAGCAATTATAAATAAAAAAACAGAGGAAGTAATTATTTTGTAACAATTATTTTTTTCTAACTCAATATTTATTTTAAATCTTTGAAAATATTTATCAATAAATATGAGTTATCTAGTATCCATTCTACATTGAAATTAGCGTAATATGTGAATGCATCAGCAATTCACTGATTTTTTTTTTTCTTCTCTTCATCACTATTTTTCACCTCGTCGCTATTGAATTTTTTTCTCAAATAATATTTTTTTAAAAAAAAATTACCAAAAAAACATCTATTACACATTATTTACCTAAATAGACCTGTTTATTTGTTCACACTCAGATTTTAGTTCCCAGGGAACCGAATTCTGAGTACTATTATTTTCTTTTTGTACTCGGGGAATCGAATTCTGAGTAGTATTTAAATTTTATATTTTTTTCGTTTTAGGTTCAGTAATGTGTCAATTTTGTAACTGGAACGAGCTTGCTCTGCTTGGAGAACGGCCCATTCTACTTGAAACAGTCTGTTCTGATTCATTCGTCATGTGTATATTTTTTTATCTGGAACAGGTCGTTCTAATTGCAGAACGGCCCCTTCTGAATCCAATTTTCTTTTTCCTCAGAAACTAAAACGCAAAAATAAAAATAAAAATAAAAAATAACAGTGCTCAGAATTCGGTTGGGTGTGAACAGTAAAGAGGTCTATTTAGGTAAATAATGTATAATAGATGTTTTTTTATAATTTTTTTAAAAAAAATATTAATTGAGAAAAAAAAATTCTCAGTAATTATAGCTATTATTTTTTATTTTTCCACTCATGAGTGAAAAAAAAAAAAAAGAATGGAAATTTGCATTAAGTAGTTAATTGAAAAGAGATTAAAACAAACAGCGATAGTTAATAGTTGTTGAGCCATAAAATTTGTTCCAAAAATGGCGTCGCCCGGACTCGAACCGGAGACCTTCAGTGTGTTAGACTGACGTGATAACCAACTACACCACGACACCAGATGCAGGCAAAATGCTATTTTATTATATTTCATACTCACCTTCAAATATGGATTTTGACGCATCTTTCAGTTACTTTTATTTTAACATACTAAAAGAATTTAAAATTTATTTTTTCTCTTTCAATAGTTTCCTATAACGGCGAGACTGTATCGCTAGACAACGAAGGAGATACCTATAACCTATTCATGTATCATGACTATATCATTTTGTTTTTCTTTTATTATACGAAAAAAATTGTCATTCATATTTGTTAATTTATGTTATTTTATCTTTCCAGTTGCCAGGGTTGGAAGAAAGGGTCCAGGAATAGAAACATCTCGTGACTATTTTTATAATCTTATCTTTATAAAAAAAAAATAAAAAAAAATAAAAAAAAATAAAAAATAAAACTTAAAAAAACAATTTTAGTTTAGATGTTTCATGATTATAATGTAAGGATAAGACCTATTTTATTCTAGTTCTATGCACATATTAAAATAATTTAATGTGGACTTTTGAAAGAGTTTGACATGAATGAAATGTTTTCACCTTAGGTAATCGTATAGGTATAAGTTACAACCTGTGAAAAATAAAGGAAAGAGAATTTGGAATAAGAAGTGATATGGATCAAGATGGAATATTTATTAAGAAAAACTTAAATGCAGTTGTGTAAATACTTATGTTGCTTTTTGCGGATTAGAATTGAGGTTTTTACCTTCCTAATTTGTATGATATAGGTTTGTATTAAAGGTTTCCTTCAAGGTTCGTTTTACTAATGCACTGATAGCTATAATTCTTTGGTCTCAGAAGTGAAAAAAAATGAGGATTGGATGCTCTTCAAACTTCAAAGGTCCATAATGTTTAAAGAATGCACCGGTCCATGATAGATTTGTACTTCTCCTAAGGAATCATTTGGCTGAAAACTCAGACAGGTTTGGTGAACCATCAAATTGAAATTTTCATGGTGTTTATTACAATTCAAAATAACTAGTCTAGAAGACTGGTAGTCATGAACCTCTAAAGCCTGAGAAAGTAGAGTAATGCCACAGCACCCCAGCAGCAGGTGGCATCAGTAATAATATACACTTTGAAGAATATGGTATATAGATTAAAGATAAGGAGAGAAAAACAAGTGTATGAATCTCTTTTCATGACCTAAGGGAAGGGCATGAATGAATAAAATGTGTCAGTTCTATACAATTAATGGTAGTGGACATTTTATTTTATTATTTTTTAGTTTTTATATAACACTCAAATATTGTAAAATCATCCCATTTTTCAGAAATAAAATAAATAGCAATTGCAAAAAGATTTAATAATAATAATAATAATATTAATAATAATAATAATATTATTAATAATAATAATAATAATAATAATAATAATAATAATAATAAAGAATCTTCACTCCTCCACCATTTGGTCCCTTAATTTTAAGGAATTTTAAAAAATAAACAAAAACATTGTTGTTCATATGTATGAAAAACTTTTGTTATTGTTTTTGGTTTAAGAATTACAGTACCCTCTGAAGCATCTCAGTTAGAATTAAAATTTATTAAAATCTGATAGTCTCACTTTAGAAGTATGGGATTCTGAAATGAGGTTTATAAGGTTTTTGACTTTCCAATTACAACAACTAGTTTTTGTGATGTGATTCTCACAAGATTCTTATTAATTGGTATCGGAGCTTTCTATCATATCACCTAACTATAAATGCGCAATGCAAATGGTGATGCGTGTTTGCTTGGGAATAGACAATGGGGTTAGTGCATACCAGCCCTTGTGAATGCCGAAGTTGCAGTGTGCGGTAAGATGCTAGGATCTAATTGTAAAGTATAAGACATGAGTCTCACATTGGAAGTATGAAATGCTAATTTTATTTATAAGACCTTAGACGCTCCAATTACAACAACGTAATGCTCCCAAAATTCTTAACAATTGATATCATAGCCTTCCACCATGTCACCTAACTGCAAACGAGCAACACCGGTGCTGATAGTGTTCACCTAAGACTAGTCAAAGGGGCTAGTGCACACTAGCCTACATGGGCACCGAAGTTGCAAAGTGTGGTGGGATATTAAGATTTGATTGCAAGATATAGGACTTGAATCTTACATTTGAAGTATAGGATGGCCTTGGACGTTCCAATTACAACAGCTAGCTCTTATAGTTTGGTTCTCCCAAGGTTCCTATCAGAATCCGAATTTCATCATGAACTATCCGAAATTGGCCTCTTTATTATAAAATCATGTTTTCATTTAAAATTTCTTGAAATGAAGGACAAAATAACAACATTCTTCATATTATTACTATTCGAACCTTAATCACAGAAGATAGGACTGACTCGTCAAAGAGGAATTATTAAATCTCAGCTGTCATATTCACTACTCTTAAAAGTCAGAAGCGTATCAAAATAAATCTGTGCAAGTCATTAGCCATGCCTGATTTAGATGCACAAAGAACTAGAAGAAATTTCACCTACAATACAACTATTACATATAGGCAGATTTACAACCCTGATGTTCCTAACCTCACAGTGAAGATAATGTATCATTCAAGTTGATAGTCTTGAACACTGCAAAACACTTGCATTTGCTTGCATTTTTACAACATTAGATACAAAATTCAGTCTTAATCCCTTGTGGCCCAAGTTAAATGAGTCATTAAGTTGATACTAGTATACTACTGCTTGCAGATACCCATAAAATCTGCATTATTAATTATCCAAGGATGCTCCATTATCTTCTGAAGTGAGAGCCTTCGTGAAGAGTCTTTCACCAGGAGCTGCATTAATTTACAAATTGTTGTCAGAAAAATCACTATTTTTGTTCACTGAAATAACCTGCTTTGGACAGGTATGAATACTCATATATGTACATACCCGACTAATCAGATGTCTAGCATCCAAAGAAACAGAAGGGGTGGCAGGGAAGCTTAGGTCAACCTTCATTATCCTATACAAAGCTAAATACATTACATACACATTGGTAGAGGAACATGTACTTTAACTAAACATATGATATGCACACTTCTGTACCTTTTGAAGGTATCAGCTTGACTCTCAGCCTCAAATGGAGGAGCACCATAGAGGAACTCGTAACAAAGAATACCCAGAGTCCAATTATCAACTGCATAGTCATGAGCTTTGTTTTCAACCATTTCCGGTGCTAAATAATCCAATGTTCCACACATGGTATGTCTTTTACTTTTGGACTGAACAGACCAACCAAAGTCTGCAATTTTAAGACGACCCTGCAATCAAGTCATGATTAGTTTTACATACTAATGCCCTTAAACCCCACATATAATTCAATTCGCTCTAACTATCTATTGAATGGATTCATTGCATATCATATTTATAATATTCAGTGTTAAGTTTCTTAATTTCTTTCATTTAGACTTCTCTTTTAGAAGAGGATTGGAGAATTGAAGGCAATAAGCATAAGAAAGCTGAAAAAGCATTTGAACACCTATACTAAAACTTCAGGGACGAGAGTTCCAAAGATTACAAAAGGGAAATATAACAGAAAACAACATTATTTTATATTTAAAATTAGTATTTTGTGACCCTACAAGTTTTTTCCGAATGACTATTGTGTTGTCATAAGTGAACACAGCCTAAAATCATAGATTGTTAGCAGAAGAAGGATACTTTAGCATACCTCGTGGTCAAGTAACAAATTTTCGGGTTTGATATCCCTATGAATGACATTCTTCTCGTGACAATAAGCCAACGCCCTTGTGAGGCTCAAAATATACTAGAATTGTCAAAATAAAAGAAAAAGTTAAGAGACATGATAAGGAAGACTTGCCTCAAAATAAAGGAGCACAAAGATAATAATACAAGATTTCTTCTAATCACTGCTTATGAGATTTTTCAAAAATGTTTCCAACCATTTTCGATTAACTTCTCTACAATTCCATATTCCATAGCATGCTATTACAACTACTTCACCTACAGCAATCATCATAATCTTCTAATGATTTGGTGCTTAAAAAATTGTTAAAGATGATTTCTGCTTTGCAATCTATTCAACCTCTTGAGATACAAAATCATTTTTTCAAAAAACCCACTATAGCTGCTTTCTTTTCATATTTAACTTTTCTCAAAACCCAATAATCTGGAGAAATGCCTAGAACCAATGAAAAACGTTTATCTTCCAACAAGAAAAATGCAAGCTTCCTCCAAAGCAAGGCCAGAGCAAAGCAATAAATAAATTTCACTTTAAGTACTCTTAGGAGAAAAATATAGAAAGGTAAAATAAATTGAACACTCTCTGAAGTTAAAATCAACTTATAAACTTAACCTTATTAGAAACTCTTTCATTTAACTTCTCTAAAGGTTAAGGTACACAAGTTAAATTAATCAGTAAATTTTAACTTATAGATAAATTCAATTGAATTTAACCTTTTATTTTTATGTTTGTGAAAAAGTTTAAAAGAACAGGTCTTCTTAGTCAAAATGGTGCAAGAAGCAGGAAGTAAAAAGCAACCCCCTCCTCATAAATTATGATTTGTGCATGTTTGGAAAACCGTTTGCAATGTGCAACTGCAAACTGAAGTTCCCTCTTTCTAATGCACCAAAATAGGAAGTAAGAATTTGGCACTTCTCCGATGAACAGATGTTTGTAAGATTTCAACAATAAACCAAACACACCGAAAGCATTCAAAACATAACACAGACTCGAGGAAATAGACTACCGTGGCAGCTTGCTTCTCAGTGAAATGACCTTTTTTTCTGAGCTCTTTGTAAAGCTCTCCATTGTGAGCATACTCGAGAATCAAGAAAACACGGTCAGCATCATGAAACCAACCATAAAGACGCAGAATGTTAGGGTGCCGAAGACCGGTCTGTATCTCCATCTCTCTCCTCAGTTGATGATGAATTCTGTACTTGTCAATTTGTTCCTTAAAGATAACCTTCAACGCCACAACAAATTTGCTCTGAAAATAAACTTAAATTAAATTAAAACAAAAAAATCCCAATTCCATTGGCAACGCAGAGAACAAAAATCTAAACCTCATAAGATGATTGCAGCACATTAAATTTCATTAAAAAAAAACAATTAGAGAGTGAAGATTGTAATCATAATAGATATATGTGTAGGAAAGTGGAATGAAGAGTGAATTAGGAACCTTGAGTTCTCTGGCGACGTAAACTCTGCCGAATTTGCCCCTACCGAGAGGTTTTCCGATCTCGAAGTCCTGGAGGGACCAATGCTTTTCTTCCTCCGCTGGGTTTCGGGAAGACATTTTGGGTCGAGATGCCAAACTTCTTCGTTCCCCTTTTTCTCACAATTTGAATTTGTTTCAAGGCGCGTACCGTAACGACCCGCCTTGGTCCCTACACACAGTGGAATTGACTAAAAATAGTTAGCTAAGATAAATAATAAAATTGGATAACTTATAAATACAAAAACATAAAAAAAAAAAAATATATATATATATATATATATAAATCATTAAGTTTTTAAGTATAAGGTATTTATACAGATATCCAAAACTATTATCTCCTAGTGTCGGTCAAGCACAAAACTGCTATCCAAGATGACAACTCTAACACGAGGATCAAAACTCTCCGTCTCGCAACGGTCACCTCAACTCCAAGCTGACCTTACCTGCTCTCATACAAGGTATGATCATCGCAGTCCATCCACTCTTGTGCTTAATTAGGAATTTTCTGCCTAATAGCCTTTGAATTTGTTTGAGTCATCTTTGCATCTTATTCGGTCATTTAAATGCTTGAGTCTTTTATTTTTAAATCCATGTCTAGTAGGTTTGTGTAGTTCTTTTATGTTCATCTATCTTAGCTATGCTTGTTGATCCTTGATTTTTGATTTGCACCTTGAAACCATTTTCTGGATTTGGCCGAGATCCATTTCTTTTCTTTGGTATAAGCTCATGAATTTTTGTTTCATTTTTGAGTTCATAAACTACTATTAGATCATTAGTAGTTTTCTTAGAATTTTAGGCTTCCAAAATTTTGAAAAAAATGTCTTACACAAAAATTCTTCAATCCGTGAGTGTTTGATCTTGTATCATTGGTGTGTGCTGAAAAATTGTGTTAGGATTGTAATTTGAATTTGAAAATTGGAGCCAAAACCGTGCATGTGCTACATAAACCAACCAAGCAACAAAAGCATGTCACATGTTCATTACATTTTGAACTAATTTGTGTGGCATTTGAATTTCAATTTGAATTCGGTTTTGGTGTTTCACTTAAGGTGTGACCGAGAGTTTGTGAGGTTCTTTTAAAGAAAAAGGCAACTCCTAAGATTTAAAAAAAAA